CAAGCAGCTGATTTAGTCAGATTTATTCATGCATGCACTGTGGGTGCTTTTCCAGGGTTAACTTACATCCTGTTTATCCAAAGGACAGAGAAACAAGGTATGGAGAGGTAACTGAGTAATCAGGAGAACGGCCTGGAGTTTTAATTTTGAAGGGTCTTAGCTTTACCAGAGCAAGTAACCTGGAGCTTGGGGGTGGGGAGATTATTACTGTGTATGTTAAAGAGATGAAGGGAGGAGAAATTTTACCCAGTGGACCCAACATATTCTTATAAGGCTACTTCTCACTGTTTGGAGCTGAGAGCATAAATTTAAAATTAGGTCAGAAAATCAACTTTTCTACTTCTGGCTTATTTGCTCACTTGCACTTACTAATGCATTTATTTGTTCAATCAATCAATAAAATTTGAAATTCTACTATATATGTAAGATCAAAGATCCCCCCAAACCTTCCATTAGTTATTAGATTGTAGGAAAAACAAGAGGGAGAAAAGGCAAAATTTTAGTGTGAGAGGAAGGGTCTGGCAGCCACACAGGAAATTCAGGAAAGTGAATCTCTTTGCAGTTCACACCTGAATATGAAGTCCCTAGATGTATTTGACTCTCTACCAGGGAACCATCCTCACATGAGTGGAACTTTGAAAAGCTAGTTGATATTAGCTCTTCCAAAAAGATATTAGCTCTTCCAAAGAAATCATATTTCTTCAAAAACACAATGCCATGCATGGTAAATAATTCCAATGTTTTCTCTATAAATACCTCATTAATCCCCAATGTGTCAGGAAATAAAACTACCAGTAGTTCTGCAAGTGTGCAATGAATCTTCCCATATGTCCTTAGGGCTTGGGGTTAGAAATACTGCCTTAATTGGATTACAGTGAAGTTGCATTTAACTGGAAATTCTACTAAACAAGAAAAGAAAAAAGTTTGAAAGCAGGTCAGAAAGACCCAGAAAAATCTAAAATACTGATCCTGGCTGACATTTCACTTAGAGAGATTATGTCCAAGAGCAGGAGTGCGATGGGGCGTGAGATCCAAGAACCCTCTGGGGTCCAGTCCCCAGGAGCCTACTCCCTTGCTACAAACATTCCTACTGCTAAAAGTGGTTCCTCAGATAAGGAAGGATTCTGGAGAGACTTTTTGAGATGAGAGTGTGGGGGAATTTCTCCAGAGTACAGAAGTCGGAGTCACTGACCTAGGGCTTGCTTTTATCTTTAATATTTGTCTCTTAGAAATTATTGGCTTCCTCTCTAATGATGAGTTGCCAATGAGTGTGCTTCTCTGAAAACTGCCTCTTCCCTCCTTGATGACCTACTTTACCTGGGCCCTAGCTCTGGATTCTTTGTACAGCCAGAATTCTATGGCAGCTCCCTGGTGGTCTTACCATAGGCCCCTAGTTGGTCCGCTAATTTCCCCTCACCTTTCTTTTACCTTATAGGCCCAAATTAATGCTAATTCAATACTAGCAATTAGCAATCATTTATATTATGTCCTTGAATATGAAATGAAGATTATTTAAAAACTAAATGATACGAACTACAAAATGCTATTGAAAAAATTAAAGATGTAAATAATTAAGAGACTATGGACAATATTGTAAAGATATTATTATTTCAAAATTCATGTATAGTCCTTATACAATTCCAAGTTATATTTGCAATTTACTTTTATTGTAACCGTTCTATAATAGTATGGATATAAAAATTATCAAAAATACTAAATTAACCTTGAAAAACTAGTTGGAGGATGTACTCTCCCTTGATTTAGGGTTACTATAAATCCACAGTAAAGAGAAGATATGGTCATTACATAAAGATAAGCATAGAATAATTGATAATAATAGTCCAAAATAGATTTGCAAATCAAGTTATTTATGATAAAGATACCAAGGAAATCCTTTGGAAAATAAAAATTTCAATAATTAGTACTATAACCTTTGTTCATTTATAAAATACTTCAAATTTTATCTCATATTATACATAAAAATTAAGATACATAATATTTAACAGTATTAGTTAAATTCATTAAGTTTTGAAAATGAAACTAGAATGGTACATTTTAAAAATATTTCTTAAGTTACAAATAGGAAAAGTAAAGAAAAAAAGAGAACAAAAGAAAGGAAAGCCGAAAGCATTGAATATATTAAACAGCACTCCATTAAATACAAAAAGATCTGCTTATAAAATCTCATTTGACAAAAATGAATAGATGAGCCAAAGACTGGTAGAAAATACTCATAAGCATATATCTAACCAAATACTAATATCCAGCATTGATAAGTAACTTTTGTAACACATCACAGAGATGAGCACCCCCAATTAAGTAAAGACAAAATATTAAAACAGAGTACAAATGAATGATCAAGAATCAACACAAAAATTTTTTAATTTTTATTATTCATGCAATGCAAATCAAAACTACGTCTACCTTACATCCACTGGAGCATTTGAGATTGAAAAAGTCAACAATGGAAAATGATGGTGAGGATGTAGAGGAACCTGAGCACTCATATTTTGCTTATTGTAGTGTGAAATGCTAGAAAATGACAACTTGTCCATCAGAAAGGTCCAAAAAAGTACACTGCAGACTCTTAAGAGATTTTAATGAGAATGTGTCAAAAATCTGAACTTTCATCTGTGGCTACTGGGCATGTCGTTTGGTACAACAGTTTAGAAAGCTAAAGCTAACCTCCCACAATGCTCGATGATCCAGAGATTTCTCTCATAGGAATAGGGACATATATCCAACAAAAGATATATAGAAACTAGACATAATATAATATGACAATAGCAATAATGTGTAAACCAGCCATCCCTAAACTTTTAGGCATGGCAAGGCTTAGTGATGATGGTAGTGGTGGTGGTGGTAGTGGTGATGGCTTAGATTCTCATACTAGATGCCTCAGATGAGTTATTAATTTGTAATTAATGAATTATAAAGACACACAACTTCATAGATAAATCTTTAAAACAATGCTAGAAATACATTAGAAAAGAAAACGAAGGAATACAAACAATATAATTCCCTGTATAAAAGCTTGGAAAGAGAATAAACTAAGCTACATTGTTAGAGACTGAGGGTGGTCACACCTCAGAGATTGTGGTATTAGGCAAAATAGGGAACTTCAGAGGTCAAGCAATACTCTTCTTTAAGATTTACTGAGTCATAATTGAGTTTCAAAGTATTGCACATATTTAAATAACTACTTTTTGATGATGTATCAGTCAGTGTTTACTGGAGAAACAGATTTAATACAAGGTATAAAAATATATAAGAATTTACAAGATTGGCTTACAATGGCTACCCATAGAGTCAGGTGTGGAAAAGTGCAAAAGGTCTGTCTGCTGACTGAGGCTCTGAAGTATCCTGTCAAAAGCCCGGAGCTCACTATAGTGTCCTGTGCAAATCTGTGTCAGGAGGCCCAAGGGCCAGGAAGGCTTAAGATTCTGTGCCAGAAGGCTAATGGGTTGGTGTTGGAGGCTGAAGAGCCTGTACTGGAAGCCAGGAGATAATATTCAAGGTAAAAGCAAAGACTGGAGCTCCTCTGAAGAAACAGAACCAATTTTTCCTTCTTTGTTTCCTTTTTATACCATTCTGGTGACAATCCTCCCCAGAGTGGGTCTTCCACACCTAGAACTATCTTGAGCCAATCTAGTTGGGTGTTTCTTAGTTAAATTGATAAAACCAGTTCACTCTCACAGTTGAGGTGGGATGCACATGCTGAGCAGACATATCATCATACTAAATTTATCCATTGGCTCCAAAAATTTCTCTCTCTGTCTCTCTCTCTCCCGTTTTCTGGATTTCCATGAGCAGATTTGCTCTGTCATACTCTTCTGCCATGATATTCTGCCTTATCGCTGGCCTATACCAATGAATAAGACAACAATAGAGTGAAACATCTGAAGCCATGAACCCAAAATAAATCTTTCTCCTTTAAGCAGTATTTCTCATGTATTTTTTTTATAGTGATGACAATATTAATAACACAGTTTCTTCCCAGGGATCTTTTGGAAATATTTTGCCCCAAAAGCTTAGAATTTTCCCATGACAACTAGTCCTATGCAATGTAAAACATCTTACATATAATATAATGTATATCTATGTAATATACACAAAATATACAATGAAATACATGTTTAATATATTTAATAACATATTGAAGATATATTTTATTATTTTGTATATACTTCTATATAGAGTGTGTCTAACATTATATACAGGATTATTTGTACTTTGGAATATTAAGTTAGAAACAAGAAAAGCTAACTTTATTTTATTTTATTCAGTACCAGGGTTCAAACTAAGAAAAGCTAATTTTAAAGTCCAGATTGAAAAAATGGAAGTTCAAGAAGAACACTGAAAATTAATACAGTTATTAGAAACTGACCCAATCAAATACTAGTATGGAAAGTAAAGGTTAAAAAAATATTATGGCACAACAAGTGACTAAACAATGAAGAAAAAAGGCACAAAAAATACACTAGGGAATTTAATATGAGATGCAAGTTGCATTTTAAATAAAGAAAAAAACATATTTAATAAATTGTACTAGGTAGCCACCTGGAAAATGAATTGGATTTATATCCCATACCTTATAGGAAAATAGATTTCAGTCAGATATAATACTTAAATAGAAATAGTAAAACCATAACAAGAAAGGGAAATATAATAATGCGAGTTTAAAGTATCTTTTAGTGGCAAAAAATTCTTCAAAATATGATACAAAAATTACAGCTTTTGCTGATATGGTAAACAAAAATTTAATTAACATATAGTATTCATGAAAAAATGATAAAATGTTTTAAAAATACATGGCACAAAGATACTTTAAAAATTAATGTTCTGAAAACAATTAGATTGAAAATGTCTACGTAGAAAGCCAACATACAAAATTTTTAAAAAATGTGTAAAATACTTTCAGTGAGGTCACACAATTCTAATTCTTACTTATGAAGAACTTCTGCAAATTAATAAAATCAGTAAAGGATGTGAATAGAAAATAAATGTGAATGACTCAGTATAGAAATATCCTAAATACCCTTTAGATTACCAGAGAATAAACATCTAATATACCTTTATATGGAGAGATTTGATCAGAAATGTGTACCTCTACAAATTTTACAAAATTTTTACATAGCATACATATGTATCAGAGCATACATATCAGAGCATTTTATAATAATTTGTTATAATCTAATTAGCCAAAATCTATACATGTACCACTGGGTTCCTTATTTAATGCCTATATGTAAAATAATATACAGCTCTAAAACCGCAAAAGTCTTTGTATTTTGATATTGAATATTCTTCAGATCTATTATTTTTAAAGTGCCGAGCTACATACATGAATCCTAGAACTTTGGGGAGAGAGAATACATGATGCCTGTTTGTATATGAAAGATTTACTGACACATGCATACCTTACCCCATGTAGGTTGCACTAAAACAATCATGGTTGGTCTCTGAGAGTGAGGATTCTTACCTCACCCACTATCAGTTCAAAGATAGATCTTGTACAGAAGCTCCTTCACTTAGGACTGGGGCTATGTCCTATTAAAGTCATAAATCAAATCACCATAAAGGAGCATCTGTACTGCCCAGATTGCAGACGCCATCTTGTTTGATCTTTTCTTTGTACAAGAACTACCTATATTCTCAACAGTACTACACTGGCTGTAGATCATCCAGAAGGCCAATAGCTTAGAAGTTCATCATTGTTCAGCTGCCAATTATCTTCCCATTGGATAAGTCCTCCTCGACTTTCCAGTGCTCTGTCAGCTATCATGGAATAGCATGTGTGGTCCTAGACATCCAGAGGTAGGTATGGATCATTTCAGACAGATTTGTTCTCCTATTCCAATTAGTGAGAACAGCGTTGAAATCCACCCATGGTGGCCAGACTTGGAGTAGCCAATGTGAGTTGCAGTTCATTCTGGTGAAAGATTTCAGTCATGTACAGACCACAAAGTTGACCCTGACAAAGCCATTCTTTGTATAACCGGGGTCAGGGACAGTGAATCTATCCATCACATCTCAGGGTCCAAATTACTTTTTGGCTGCAGGCTGGTGGCTACACATCTACAGTGGGAAACAATAACAAAACTGATGTGGGTTACAGAAATTTCATGATCATGTTCTGAGGCATCACATTCTGGAACTCATTTCAGCTTAATGCTATAAATTATCTGTTATGTCTGCTACATAAAATTATTATATTTCCTTTTTATTTTAATAAGAAGATCTTTCAGGGGTAGAGATTTATCTCAGTAGTTCCACTGCCTGCCCCACAAGCACAAGGACCTGAGTTCGATCCCCAGTACCAAAAAAAAAAAAAAAAGATGGTAAGAAGATCTTTTAAAATCTATCTCCTCCAACTATGATGAGGATTGAACCCAGGGCCTTATGTGTGCTAGGCAAGTGCTCACAACTAAGCTATGTCCCCAACTGCTTTTTGGCTATTATGTTTGGCAAATCTACAAGAAGAAAAAGACAAACTTCATGTAGAAATGAGGGAATGGTCACTTACTAAATATTATCTGTAAATGATTACAGACAGGTTGTAAAGGGCCTATGAAAAACCTGTGGTCTATTATTCTTTGACTCCTTCCCTTCTCCATTGTAAAGATTGATTTAAACTATTACCTCATGGCTGGCACACTGCCAACATCTTTCTGTTCTTCTTACTGCCTGGCTCACCTCCCTCCATTCAGTCCTTAACACTGCATCAGGAAGCATTTTTCTGAAAAACAAACCTGATTGTATTAAGTCCCTGCCCCAGACTCCCAGTGTCTTAGCATGACGGCAAACACTTCAGATGGCCTGGCCCATCATGGGCCTATAGTTAGAGTTGGCACTCAGTAAACATTTCATGGGCAATCAATGCTTTGCAGCAGTTTCAAAGAAAAGAAAAAGCAAACCTAGCAGTGGGAGGCAATTCCCTTATTTTACACACGTTTTCCGAGCATCATCTCTCTGTGCAAGAGACTAGGTGGAGGGAAAGGAAAGACTCAGATTCTCAGTACATGCCTCTCTGTTATCTTTCTTTTTCCAGCTTTTAAGGACCTGAGAATCTACCAAGGAATGCAAGGCTTATAGGAAAACTTGACATGTGGTGCAGACTTGATAAATGTGTTAAGATCATTTAGTGGGAAGAGACTTTGCTTTCACCTTGGGAACACAGAAAGGTCACAGACAACATTTGACCAGGGTTTGAGGCAAGAGTAAGGTGGATGGAAAGAGGCTAATCTACAGAGCCTGGAGAGAGCACTCCAGTAGGAGAAGTTCAGGGAAAAGGCACATGTCCTCTTGGTATTTGGCTATAAATGCAGGTTAAACAAAGCTTCACAATGGTTATTAAGGTTGGTTGCCAGTGAGGCAGCTTTGGAGGGCTGGCGAGTTAGTTACTTTCTTGTCACTGAGACACAATACTTGACACCTGCAACTCTAAGGAGAAAAGGTTTATTTTGGCTCACAGTTTCTAGAGGTTTCAGTCCATAGTCAGCTGCCTCCAGAGCAGAGCAGCATAGCAGCGGATCCTTGTTATGGCATGACAGACAGGAAGCAGAGAGAGGTCAAGGAAGAAGGAAGGGAAATTAACCTTTCAATGCCACACCTCCAGTGACCTACCTCATCTCACCAGGCTTTACCTCCCAACATCACATTTAGCTATAAATTAATCAGTGGACTAATTTATTACTGAGTATCAGACACCCATTATTGAATCCCCTCCCCAAAGCCCCACAGATGAGCACACGAAGCTATGGAAAGACATCTAGATATAAACCCTAACAGCCTGGTTTGCTAGTAAGAAAAGTGCTGGTTTCTCTGGGATGACCTTTTCGACCTCAGGTAATTCTCTCCAAGCTCCAAGCCTTGGTTTGCTTTCTCTCCCAACCTGCTCTGCTACCTGTAACCCACTCAGACATATCCGCTACTCTTTCTCCATGCTCTTGCCTCCAGTCATGAGACATCAGGTGCAGTCAGCTTCTTGCTATCAGCTGAAACTGACCTTCCAAACTTCCTCATGTTGCTCTTTACCAGTGACGGTGAACCTTTTAGAGATGACCATTCAAACTGCAACACAAACCCATGTATTTATTGCAAAGTGCCAACACTGCAATTAAACCTGAATATTGAGGTTTTAGTTTAGAAAAAACAACTCATACATTAACATCTTTTCTCTTAACAGAAAAACAACACACATGCCATAGATTCACCACCACTGCTCTATACTTTTCTGAGCCTTAGCTTATTTCTCTCTGGTAGGTTAGGAAAGAGAAGAAAGAGCACAGACAGAGCTGTATTCTAATCATGACTCTTTAACTTGTAGAAATGTAACCTTAGGCAAATCATTTAACCTTTCTGAGCCACCTGGAAAGTGGTGATAATAATTCTTACTGTAGAGAGATGCCATGAGGGTAAACACATGTTTAAGCATCCTGCTCTTAGAGGCCTCATAAAATGCTAGTTGTCTTCCCATCTCAGACTCCAGGCCCAATCAGGTCAAATTTGGAGCCATAACCACCCCTTCTGACCTTCAATTAGAGCAGCTTAGTTCTCTCCTGTGATCATTATTAACTCTCCTGATTTCTTGCTCAGAGGCCAGGAGACAGCATTACACAATAAGGCTTAAAGTTTCCTTTTTAAAAGTAAGTGAGGCTCATCAGGGAGATTAAAAACTAAAGATTTGACCCATTCTGGCTTTTAAGCCCCTTCACATTAGCATTGCATTGTATAATAACTGGAAGGGAAAGAAGAATGTGCTAATCAGGCTAAGTTGGGAGGAAAAGAAATTGCAAATTTATGGAGACAAAAACAGGTGTGTGAAATGGTGTGCAACAGAGCTTGCCACAATTTCCCAAGACATAATTCCTGGTTGGGAGCCCTCAATGTTAGAAAAGAATTAGGATTATCTCTGCAAGCCTCTGTCACAGGAAGTATAATATTTATTCAGCACACAGCTAGCCAGTGGATGTACCAACAACTGCAATCCAGGATTTCCCATTTGATTTTGACTGGAGTGTTATTTAGAAACTTAATTGCACGATGCCCAGTGGCACCAGGCACTCATCTGTATCTGACTGAAGTCTTCACTCCCATTAGTTTCAGAGTGCAGATAACTGAGGGAGGCTGGTAGAAGACCATCTCCTCACTTGAAAGTCTTACTTGAATTGGAAACAGTTCCCAGCTCCTGACTTCTGAGATTCAGACTGCAAGGTGAATATCTCTGCATTCAGAACAGAAAAGTTGCTGGACTTTGGAGGTCTCATCCTCTGCATACAGATCTGCCTGAATCTAGGATGACTCCACACTTTCCTGCCAAACTTTAAATCCACGCTATTTCATAGATGCATATAAAGTTCAAAGATTGAGCCTTATCTTAAAGTGAAAATGAGAAAATGGCAACCATTAAGATCACAGGGAAGATTATAAGAAAGGTCTCTGTGATGTTACAGGTCTCCTGATTCTGACTGTTTTTTACGATATTTGCAAAAAGGTATTGTAGATAGTAATCTAAAATTTATTCATTTTTATTCTATTGAAACAAAATACAATGGGTGATTGAAAAACATGGCGATTATATAAATTTCTTAAATGTATTACAGTAAAAGACCTATTGCTCTTAATCCTCAAAATATTCCCTTTCACTTATAACACACTTATGCTATTCTTTATACTTTCTGAAGCAGTTCTAGAAGTCGTCTTTTATGCACATGTTTACAAGGTGTGAATACCATACAACAAAAAGACAGGCTGGTAAAAACATACTGGTGTGCTTTCATCCATCTTACTCATTGGATCTGACACCATAAGACTTCTGGCTCTTCCCCAAAGTTAAAATGATCATGAAAAGTAAGCATTTTGAATCTATTTAGAACATCTAGGCAGCCAGGACAGTACAACTGAAGATATTTTCTCATAGAACTATTTACCTATTTTCTCCAAGTGCTAATCTGTGTGTCTAGTTATATTGTCATCTTTTAATTTTTGCCTTCACTGTAAAATACCAGTCCCTTAACTGTCAGCTGGTAACATATTCTTTACATTTTCACTTTAATAGAATTAATAAGAAATAAAGGACATGAGAAGGTATTGATATTTATTGGAGTTATTACTCCAATAGCATAACACCTTGATACAGACATGCCTTATTTCAAAAAATGGTTAAAAGGCGGTCCCACAAATATTACCAAAGTCCCAGCACAATAAAATATTTATGAAGGCATCAATTTTAATTACTTTTCAAGTAATTGGAATCCAAAGTCTTTGATTAAATTCCTGATCTTTACTTCCATGCTATACTCAAACTTTCAAAATTGAAGGGCTGTTCTGGGCCTATTTTGATGAACAGACCATTGTCTCTAATTGTAATGATTCTTGAGCCAGCTAACACCTTCCTTTTACATTCATGATGATTTTCTTACTTGCCTAAGCTTCTAGTTTCTCAAATTACTCTTTTAGAATCCTTCCCCCAATCAATGGCCTGAAAATGGTTAGGCATATTAAAATCCTCCAAAGCAGGGAGAAGATCAGGCAGGATGAGGAGGAGAAAGGACAGCAGCATCACACCCTAGTCCTCTTTGATCCTTAACCCTTCCACAAGAAGCATATCCCTTCGGCTCTGTTTTTCCAACTGTCTACAAATCATGTATTTAGTTACTTTTTATATCTCCAGCTAATACAAAAACTTTAAGGCCATTTCTGCTGCCGTGTTCCCAGTTCAACTGCTTTCCCAAAACAAGCTGTTGGGAGAGATATTAATGTATATTTCACTTACAAGCCCACTGGATATGAGCAGTCCCAATCTTATCAAGTTCTCCCACTACCATCTCGCCTCACCCAATATTAGAAGCCAAAGTCATTCATAGTTCTTCAAGCTTTTCAAGGAGGTAATATCATACTTGCCCACATAGGCCCTTTTAACATTGTTACATCAGAATTGTAAGCTTATTTTTCCCAAAGTGAGCTCACCGCAATTAGAAATCAACACACATTGGAATTCTGAAAGGCTTAATTTTGCTTAAAAAGTTTGTATTGCTAAATAACAATTATAGGAGGAGGCTATATCTTTTTGCTTTTTACTTTCTTTTGTATAAATTTCCTCTACTGAATTCTAACAGGATAGACTAAACATGAAAATGGAATCACTAATGGTGCATTTTCAAATCACCAAACCTAATCTCAGTTGTTATCTTACCTGAGAAATCAGGAGAGCGATCACAACCGAGTTCCTAAACTATCTAGTTTACTCATAAATAGTAATTTCATAAAAATGAAGTTTTGGTTTAATCCTTACAAAAGAGTAACCCTGTGTTAATTGGTCTGTTATTTTTCTACAATCCTGTTTCCCTGTTCCCACCTTACAAAGTAACTTTGAAATGACCACTCTGCATTCTGTTCTTTATTTCTGCTTATTTTAAGCCCTCTGTCTATAAAACCAATCTCTTCCGCTCACTCCATCACTACATTTACTATGTTTCAGAGGATGAAGTGTTACCGAATTCTACAATGAAAACTAAAGCCAATTAAGATCTTTAAACTCAATTGTAATTTTGTCTTTTATAATATAAATATACCTTGTGCTTTTCTTGGTGCCTGGCTACTGGTAAGTAGTCATTCATTGAAGGAAGGTCTGATATGCATGCATTCACATTTCCCAATTGCTCGATTAAGACCATTGTAGCAGAATTCAGTATCTTTCCTCTAATCAACCTACATTATTTTATAATTTCTGATTAAATGATGTCACCTTATTTGATCATTTTATATGTTCTTCTACACATTCCCATTGATGGCATAACATTCACTCTCACTATATTATTCTAAGCCATTATCCCTAGCCAAAGCTTTGGTCTGTATCTCCATAAGCATGTATCTACTTAGCTCACAGCTAACATGTCAGTAGGGGAACCCTCTTTACACCATCATGCACCTTCTCAGTGTACACACACACACACTCACACACACACACACTCCATTCCTATACTTCCCATGTCAGAGTGTGTCACCACAATTAGTGAAGCTATAAAGACTAGAAATCAGAAAAACTTCCTATTCTCTTCTCTTTAAATCCACAGAAGCTCTTTTTCTCAGTGCCTCTAGTCTTATCAAATTCCTCTGAAACCAACTTTTAAATCCTAAATTTTACTTCTCCTTAAATTGAATGCCTCTCTTTAGACATATTCACATAAATGAATTCCATGTTCTTAACCATATTATAACACACATGTCTTCTTTTCTATAAACGTTTGCTTTCCCCCTCCCTAGTGCTCCTCTGTGAACTTATTCTTGAGTTAAGATTTAACTCAAACACCATTTTCTCTATGAGACTTTCCTACTTCGATTTTCCCATTTCTTGCACGTCACTCTTATAGCACACCACACACTGTACTATGACCGCTCATTATTTTCTCTTTCTCTTGCATACATTGTAAAAGAAGGATTCAGTTATTTTCTTAATTCTTCATTTCATTTCTCCAGCCCCTCGCATGTTTATAGTTGATATTCAGCAAATATTTATTGATAAACAAGTGAATAAATAGAGAAAGGGGAG